TCTTTCTGTCAACACTAGTTCATGTTTATTTTTATAATTACTTAAATTAAATAAAAAAGGCAAGCTATTTTAACACGCTAGTATAATGCAAGTTTAGTAATTATATTAAAATTTAAATTCAGAATAAAATTTCGAAATCTCTTTTGCAATATACTTTAAAAGTACTTAACGCTTCATAAAAGAATTAATGCGCTTAAGGAAAGTAATGCGAATATTTAGAATAAAGTAATAGTTTGTCGTTCGCATATACTTTATAAAAATTAAATCGTAGTTTATCTTTTCATTCAAAGAATTAAAAGCTGCTCTCTAAGACCTAATCTAGTAAGAACTTTGCTAAAAATAACTTCGAAAAAACGTTTAATTGCCCTTTTTCTCAGCAAACTTCAACACGACAGACAGGATGAAGGGGAGGAAAACGACTCCTTGCTAAGAGCTGTTATAATTCAATTGAAATTTTTTTCCGACATCAAGGAAAAGAAAATACCATTGAGCTTACAGAACCAATAAAAGAAACAGATCTGTTCTAAAAGTGCTGCAATTCAACTTCGTTGTTCAAAGTGTTTTTAATTCGAGTGAAAGATCGATGTCTATTTAAGAAAGAATTGAAAGAGTGAAAAGAATGCAGACTTTCAAAGGGAAAGCAGTGAGTGTTTTGAATTTCCGTTGACCATCTTAACGCACAATTTGTTCGCGTTCGTTTCAGCTGCGCACTGTAAAGAAGAATTGTATTTAGTATTTATTCTGTAGTTAGGGTAATGCTTATTGATGTAAATTACAGTTAAAGAAAGCTTCCAGTTCCTTTAGATCTTTCTTTGTTTGGTACAATTGAACAACCTGGTAGAAGTAATAAAACTAAAAATAGAAAACATCCTATAAGTTAAAGAGAATTTCAACACTAAAAAATATTTTTATTTACCAGTTGCACAATAAATCATATAGTAGTACTTTAACCGTAAAAATATATTGCCTTGTTAATCCAAAATTTATGAATGCATTAGATTCAAAACAAACGCTTTAGAATGTAGGAATGCTTACTGAATTATTGAGAAATCGATATTGGCTGTGACTGAAGCTAGGTTATGAATTTTATTATAATCAATAAGGAATGGAAAATAAATAACTGGCCTGAAGCCAGGTTGCATATTTTATAATAATCAATGAAGGTGTTTGAATGTTCAGGAGAATCTGAAAGCCGTTTGTAATACTTTATTTATTGCAGCCCTTAATAACAATTAATATTTTCTATGAAATTAAAACAGTGTACCCTGATATGGCCTTTACTATTAACCCATTACTTCAAAATATATTTTAGAATAATAGTTTAGTTAAAAAAAAGGTAAAACAGAAGATTGTGACATTCAAAGAATATAGTATTGTTTAAAAAATTACTTTCTTGAGGTTTTTTTTTGAGCAACTTTGATGTAAACAAGTTTTGATTTTATAAGCATTATGTTCATGAATAAACAATGCTAATGCAATCATAAGCTTGAAAATAACTTAAAACATGCGTATCAGTGTTACAGTCACCTTGTACGGCTGTAAGCAAAGTTAAACTACGGATCTGGACTTAAAGATGAACAATTTGATGATTGTTTAGAAGGACTATCATGATACTCTCCTAATTATAAAATAATAGCTTATGAAATATAATACAAAATATCACAAACATTTGTCTGTACTATTTAGAAATTATTTATTTTGCATTACAATTAATATTTTTTATATCTTAAAATTATAGTTGTCGAATACTTTTTGTATATTATGTATATTATTAATTATGTCAATCAAAAGAATAAATGTGCCCGCTACTCCACCAATATTCCAGAATTTGCTCTAAGGTAGAAAACGTTTGGGAATTCCTACTTTAAGTGAAAGGTGATAATTCGGTTTTCTTCTGTCGACCAGAAGGGTAAAAGTAAGTCGTATTACAAGTGATCTTAATCGATGGCCATTCTGGTGGGATTTGACCGTCCTTTTCGCTGCACTTGCATGTAGGGCATGGAAGCTGAAGACCTGTTTGAAGGACGTTTGTATCTAGAGCAAACAGTATCTTCAGTTTGCATAAGAGCAAAGTTTAGACAGTCAAGGAATGAGAAAAATTACGAAAAATTATGAGAAAATAAATAAAGAATATGGAGAACAGAGCTTGAAAGCTTGGACCCTTCACAGACCACAAGCTTCAAACAGCACTATTCTAGGTATAAATTTAAACTGAAGCCCAAGCTTTTATAATTTTAGTTTTTAAACATTTAGAGATTCATAGGTGTAATTTTACTTGGCCAGTGTAAAACCGATGAAAATTCTAAAATTCAATAAACTGTTACCAGAGCATCGTCATCACCGTTGGTGCCTTTGCATCAATATCTCTTTTGCCAGATGGTTAGGTCTTGAGTTCCAGTCCCAACTGAAGATAGAATTATTGCGATAAAACAAATATCCTGTTTGATAGTACCTTTAAAATTCTGAAGTTTTTTTAAATTCTGAAACTATTTTGCAGCTTTATTTGGAGACTAAATTTCTTTTCTGGATAAATCATTGAATTACAACAAAAGTAATCAAGCGAAACATGTCAGAAACTATATAAGTTGTGCATACAATTCAGAGCTAATATTGCCATGAATTTTTAGTATTAGAAATAAAATAAAATATCATGCCTTCAAAGAAAATCTAGCGTTAAATCGCATATAGAACATGAAAATTATGAAAGTTTCTATATGCCTAACAAAAAGATTCCGAACTTTTCTCTTCTTTTTTCCGCTTTGTATTTCGGTTGCAATTATAATAAAGCATTACCCTTTACATGCATAATGAGCGCAAGGCTCTGATTCCAAATTTAGGCCATATTTGAGGTTCTAAATTATGTGAAGAAACATTACGGGATTACTCAGAAATGCGTAAAATTAACCCCCCAAAAAGGTAAAGCTTAGTAAACGGATGCGAGAGAATACTAAAGTGCAGAACGGAAGGGCCCATTCTCTTTTATTAATTCGACCACATAATTCTGTTATAGGTATACAAGACATTAAAAATAGATTAAGATTTGATTAAATAATGTGAATTAAGGTTTATAAAATTGCAAGTAAATACTCTGGTTTCAAGATGTGTAACAATCCGTAGAATTATTCTAAAAATTTCGAAATAAATGAAGTTCTGAAGATAGGCAAGTAAAAAAATATATATTCAGCCTTTTTTTCTTTCTCACTGCAGATTATCACTGACTTGTTTGCTTAATTTTATTTTCTATAAAATTCATAAAATACTTCTTTATTTGAGAGTATTTTAGTTGAATTGTGTCGAGTAGGCTGTTTGCAAAATTTAACTACAATTAGCCAACACACACGTTTAGAGATTCTCATATATCATTCTCAAAATCTGATCCAGGAATTTTAGAAATTTTGGGTAGTACACAATATGATATGGTGTCTTATTATGGAATTATATAAAGTGTTTTAAATCAGCTTTAAAATTACGTACACGAAGGCAGCTTATCCCATCAAAAATAAGTATAATTTACTGTCTGTCGTCATACATTAACATGGGGTACTTGAAATTTATTAAGAGTCTCTAATCAAATTAGCTAATCATAAATATTTTTATGTCCTATCAATTTCATGTTCAAGATGGTAGAGAACAGTTTTGGCTTTCGATGCGAGGCAGATGCTAGGTAGTTTAATGTTAATTATCATCATTTCATCCATTATGATGAAACATATTCTTTTACATAATAAAGAAGGAAAACATTAAACTGAATATGAAAGAAGCTCATAAGATTGTCTTTTAACATCCTTTAATTTGATAAATAATAATAGCTATGAAAATTTATGCTTGTGTCAACCCAACCAAGACTGCTGCTTCTATTTTAGAAAAAAGGTCTTCCAAAATTTCACGGAGCAAGAACGCCTCAGATATTTGAATCAATACGGTGTCACTCTTATTTAACACATAGCTAATTTTGGAATGTACATAATGATTTTCTGAAAATATAAGCATGTTTGCGGCACACGAGAAACATTTGAGAAGTTGAAGATGATTGCTTGTACTCTTACATCAAATCATTTTAGATGGCCCTTCTGCGAATCAATGGTTTAAAGTAACATCTCTGGTCTTACCATAACTATTCCTACATGAAGGGTGTGATTACCATCGATTTATGGAATTCTACAGATAGGTATTCGCCCAGTGCATGCCTATAAGCTAAATATGGATTTATCTCAGAAAATGGCAAATTTCCAACCTTCATTCTGCAGGATGCATAATAGCGCCCACCTATCTCTCTCCCTGTCTAACTGCACCACAGGCAGGAAATTCATAATAATGGATGGCTTGACCGTACCCTACATTCTCAGAATGCAGTCGATTGCGAAACGTTTGATCACTTATAGCAACCGTCATGGAGCATTTCTCACGATCTTCATTCTGTTGGCAAATGTGATGGCAAGACATTTTAGTGAATATGGGAGTAGATATTAAGGATGCGGTCAAAATGGGTTGTAACTGACAGATTGCAGCAGTCCGTGAGGAGTTTGCCACGCTTCACTACTCTGCAAATGCTTATATTGTTAGGTTATTGCCTTTTATAATACTTAAAGTGATACAAGTTAATTTTTATATGATATTTGCTTTTATTATTACCAAATTGTAAAGGATTGGTAATTTCCCTATATATCTATAACCCCTTACTTCTTTTTAACATGGTTTTGCCACATTTTCCGTGATATTGACAATGTTAATCGTGTAATTTGATACGTTAACATGGAACGTGTAAAATTACAATGAAGTATCAAAACGAAATCGATTCATTTCTAAATCTAAACTTTAACTGGTGAAAATATTTCAGTATGAATTTCGTAAGTAAAATTGCTTCACGTACTGAGGTTGCTTGTTATTTACAATGTTTTTCTATGACTAAACGTACGCACATTATTTTTTCACTTGACCCGCACGCAAAAGAAAAGTTTTCTAATATTATGCTATTTTAAATCAGAAATGGAATTACTCACAGAGGACCCCAACACACACAGTAGCTTTAAGTGGTTTTTCGAGTGCTGGATGAAGTGCTTCGCATGTATACATAGAACCACTGGTGTCACCTTTAGGATAAAGAGTTACCGAGCTGAGGGTAGAATACAACTTTTCTCCTTCCCTCCTTACAGTCGTTCGAGATGCCTCTGAAATAACAAAAATAAAAATGTTAGACACAAAGTTAAATATACGAATTTAATTCCTTGTGCGTATGTGCCCAAGTAAAATGTATGTAAGGAAAAGTAAAGCAAAATCATAATAGAAGCTTTATTATGCAAATTAAGTTCAATAACATTTGGTGATTAATGAACTAAGGTTATTAAAGAGCAAAAATATCCTCCGGGATTTTAGCTTCTTTTATTCTAGCTTCATCTTATTGTAGATGATTATCTTATTGAGAAAACTATTTCAAACTACCCAAAAAAGAAGGCTAAAAATTACATTTCTAGGAAAAAGATTGGAGTTAAATTTGAAATACGAATAAAAACCATTTCAAAGAATTAGTAGTGACAGGAGCATCACCGAAAACTTCTTTTCGAAAATTGCATTGAACAAAATTCAATTGTTGTTGGAGTTTGTAGTAAAAGTTTTTTATTTAACGAAAGGTGTTTCAATTAAATTTGCTTTTAAAAGAAACGCGTTTATAAAAAACTATTACGTAAGTAAATTATGCTTCGTTAAAGCCGATATTAAGTATTATGTAATTAGGTTAATTACTCTATGTAATAACTTTACATATACAATTATTATGCAATTTAAAGTAGATTATTTAATGTAAACAATTATAAATATAATGTTTTACAAACTAAACATCTTTTCTTAACATAATAAAGTAATCTGCAAAGAAGGGAGTTAATGCGATTTAATTTTAAGACAAAACGTAATGCGATCTTAGCAAGGATTAAAGCTTGCTCGGAGAGACACGAAATGAAGTCACTTTTCCTCAAAAACGTTGGAGTTCCTTCGTACTGACATTCAGGACGTCTTGTGTATTTCATGTATAGCTTTTCGGGATCTGTTGCGAGATCTGGTAAATAGCGTTAATACTCGCTTCAACGAGAAGTTAGAATTTAACATTACGGAAAAGTTTGGAAGAGATTACATTGACTTGCATCAAGTATCGATTTGCTTGAGAAAGCTTAAAATAGAATCTTAGAACCTTCAGTGCAAGATAAAATGGCTTTCACTTTTGATAAAAGTTAGCTTGATAAACCGGAAATCTAGAAATATCTCCTGCTTTAACGAATATCAAAGCCAAGAAAATTTGCTTCTTGGCTTTGATTACTAAAAACTGGAAGACAGAGTTTATACGGTTTCGTATTGTATGGTCTACCAGAATTGAGCAAAAATCAGCACCATCATATTTCACTGTGCCCACCAGCGGCCGAGCGGTAAAGTCGCTGAACACTGGTAGTTCGGTCCGAGGTTCGAATCCCGCGAACGGGCTGGCTGCATGGGCGTTTTCGTGGTTTTCCGCATGTGTAACGTGTATACGAACCAGTTTCCCCTAGAAAGCCCTCCACAAAGGCATCCCGCCTCTTAGGCAGATAGCCCTCGAGGCTTTGCCATAATCACACACACATATTTCACTGCTGATGTTCTACTATTTAACGAAGTCTACTGTTTAACGATTTTCAAAACTTCTGCTTTTTTGCCTACTACGGCTGTTTTCCCAACAGTTTAGTTGCTAACAGTGTTGATTTTTAATTTTTGAACACAGCCAGAAACGTGATCCTGAAGATTTTACATTCTTCTTACATAGGCTTATTCTACATTAGCTATTTCTCAGCTTTTTTCATTGTTTTAATGAAATTTTTCGCTTTCTTGAGTTCCATTTTCCCTTCAAGTATTTTCCATTATTGTTGCCAATGCCAGTTTTCCGTATCTATAGAGTAATGCTACGCTCAAGATTACGAGTGGCTGATAATTTGTGTAAATAATACATCTAAAACCCAAGTCATGTACTTTTCTAAATTCAGTTTCCCTATCAGAAGAAGTGTGAGGAATTTTCTTGCCATTCCAGCAAAAAATATATTCGTAAGCATTTTTATATATTAATATAATCTCCATATATAATACTAAAAGGAAAAGTCTGTGTGTGTGTGTCTTTCGTTCGTGTTGCACGTAAGCTAATAAGGGCTACGAAATTTGGTACATAGGTACATCTAGACAAAAGCCAGTGCACTCGAAGCAAGTTTTCCAAAATTCGAATGAAATGTTTTAATTTTATGTTTCTTAATGAAATCTCATCAAATCGATAATTTTCTCTCATTATATCAGCAGCAATGGCACGCAGACATTATTGCTGATATGTCATTGTTGCCATTGTTGCTGATAACAGCACTGTTGCCACTCGGGAAAATGAGGACGATAATTCTGTGCAGTTTTTAAATTTAATGTTTCTCTTGGATACCGGACGTTTTTTGAGAGAAGGCAACAGGAAGTTGGTTAATTTATTTATTAGGATAATAAATATTCGTATTAAGGGATACTGCTTATTTCATTGTAATTTTTTTATATGTAATACATTTTATTGAATTTTTTTTTTGATAAAGTTGTTCTGCAGAGTAAAATTCTGTGCAGTTTTTAAATTTAATGTTTGGTGTTCCCTTGAGGCATTTTCCCGCTACATTTAAAAGTCAGACGAAGGCAGACCGCGTAGCGGCTAGTAAATAGTAAAAAAATAAGTGTTTCAGTTTTTCATTATTTATTATTCTTTTTGATTTTCTGTATATTGTTGACCTTAGCATTTCTGTTTTGCGACTAAGGCTGGTTTCGCATATTTACGTTTTTGAATGTATCAGTTTGGAGACATACAGATGACAAGATTTAATTTTCGTGTACAAAAAATCTATACATATAGGTAAAATTTAGACTTTTATGATTCCACCTGTCTCAGAGTTTTTTATTTCAAGGCCTAGGTGTCCAGCGGACCTGTATTGGACTGTTTCTATGGAACGGTAGTATATTTGTAGTTCTACCATATTTCAACTCCATCTAAATTTACTCGCAAAATAATTAATGTCAACTTTTTACATTACATTTGTCTTTGCAGTTAAAGCTATTCTCAATCTGGTTTTTTTACTTCCCGACATAAATTCCTATCAATACCTACTATACATCTACATGAAAGTCTTCGTGTAATTTTTAAGATGAATATGAAGACGGAAAGAAATATTAGTATAATGCTAACAATTTTCATATTTTGCACTCCTTTAATTTCACACATTCCATGTCTATGGCTGATTTTTTTTTCAGACCGGCTGTAAATGTCCAAATTAAATTAATATCCTTAGGATTGAGCAAAGAACCATGGAATGATAAAATGTTCCCAATTCATAACAAATCTAAAATATAAATATTACGACATGCTTTGTTAAATAAAAGTTATCTATAAGCATAACTATTTTTTATTAACATCGCAGTTTGATAATTATCTAACACCTTAGACTTTGCATGTATTATCTATTGATTACCATTTCCTGAATTTCTGTAATAAATTAAAAAACTACTAAAATTAATGAAATATTCTGCGGGGAATTGATTATTTCTATATAACAAATAAGGGAACTGCGAAGGAAGAGGATGGATATCTAATTCTGTTTAGTGACAATTGAAAAGATCGAGCTCAATACCTTGAGAAACGGGAGGTTTACTTCGCAATACTCCGCACCAAATTTAATGGAATAATTTCGCGCTAGATCAACTTGTATTTCAAAGAAGTATGGGTAGTTGGTGCATTTCTACTCAATTTTTGAAGTTCTGCAATTGAAGATTTCGTGGACGAAAAATAAACTCCCAAAGGATTTCTATTGAAAATTCCTGAAGAGATTATGTCCACAACTCACAACTTTGGAAAAGAAACTGCATTTCTTTTGAGGGATTCATTTCACGCTGTGTACCGAACACGAAATTCATTCAGTAAACAGCACGCATAGCAGAAGCGCTTCTCTGCATTTTGAATGAAATAAAATGCTGTGCATTATAGAAAAATTATTTTCATTCTATGCACCATTAAATAAATGATTATATCTATTTCAGTTCGTCAGGAGAGAATGTTTTACCATCATAATATTAGTGTTATTTATATTTATTTATCGTCGTTGTTTAACTTCGGAAAATCAACAATAATTTTCTGTTTGAGAGAGCTTTGTTGCTCAGAATGAACTCATCATATTAAAAAGATTTACCCATCTTCCCTTTCCTTCAAGAGGACAAACGCTACACCATAAGAGAGTGCTTCTCAACCGTTTAACTGTGACGACAATGTATCTGCGCAGCAGAAAAATAATTTAATAAATTAAGCGACGTCATTTATTTGCAATACACAGATTCAGATTGAAATGAAACAAAAGTTATCTAAATTTCAAATATCCACAAATTTAATTTCTAATTAAATTTTTAGTTTATACCCCTCTGAATGCAACTGAATCCTTATTTCGAAGGCTTGTGTCATATAATCACCTAAGGGTTTGAATAAATAATCATCAGACTTAAAAATGAATTTGCAGAATGATCATTTTTAAAAAATGTTATTTTAAGAATTGCATGTAATTTTTTAAAAAGGCGTTGTTTGAATTCGTAAGTATTGCTCGTATAATTACATTTTATTCAATGAAATTTGAAGACAAAGAATTCATTCCAGCTATTATGGTCTGTAGGTATATTTATCACAACACAATTAATTGTAACATATTTTAGACTATTAATTCTTTTAGCTAACTTTTTACCTCCCCCCCCCTTTGCAAAAAATAACTATTTAAATATCAGTATTCCTCCCTGTACCGTAATGCGAAACATGTTAAGAAGCATTGCTGATCAGTGAGGTTTTTTACTGTTATATTTTTAGTCATAGTTATTATTGCATTTAATCGCTTTTACTTTAAATATGGCTAACATTCTTCCCCTTTAAAACGAACTGGATTGAAATGGGTTATTTAATTACGTAAAGCATAGTAAGGCTATCCGCTTAAGGAAAACGATGCCTTTTTAGAGGTTTTTCAAATGGAGACTGAATGATATTAAAGTCGCTCATTTGTAAAACCACGAAAACACCCATGAGCCACCTTTATTGGTCTGGATTTGAAACCTAATCGGATGCGAACTACCAGTGGTCAGCTCCCTTAAATGGTCGAATGTAGAAAAGGTTTGAAAATGCAATGGAACTTAGATTCTGTCATATTAAAATATAAAATGTTTAGGAATTCGATTTGACCTTCTTGGTAAACAGACGAAAGTTTAAGGAAAAAAGAATTTAAGCAGCCGGTAGTAAAAAGATTAACTTACCTGGCATCAGTTCGATGTTTTTTCGGTACCATTTGAGAATAGTGGCAGGTTTACTTGAGACGGCCTGGCAATGGAGAACCAACTTTTCCGCTTCTCTTACTTCGATTTCTGTCCCATTTTCTAAGTCATTGATTGACAAATGCTTTGGTGGAACTATAAGCAAAAAGAATAAAGTAATATTTCGAAAATTCAGCAACAACTCATATATATACACCAACATTTGTTTCTAAATATATATGTATGTTAAAAAATCGTGCTTAAAAATTACTGATTTACAAAATAGTAGTTAAAAACGTAATGGGTTTCTTTCCTAAGGTGGTGGCTCAGTTACGGTAGCACATTATGAATATAATTTTACATACATCTGTTGCATGTAAGGTCGAAGGATGTGTTAATTACAAGGGATGAAATATGCCTAATGTATCACTTTTAATCACCGAAATTTTATAGCCATGATGTCAGTTTTTGTTCACCGTTTTGATCTCCTTTCCAAAGCGTTCAAGTACCTTCGCTCCTTTCGTTTTGTTTGAACACAAATTCGTTTAAACATAAATTTTATAAAATGTATTATTAGTTTAAAAGAACATGATAGACTGAAACACTTGCAGGCATATGTATTTTAACAATCGTTAACTTCTTGTCTTACAAAAGCGCTTTGCGCGTGATATTTAAAAATAAATTTGGGATTTAAACACCCCATCCTTGCATTTGTGCAAATTAAGGAAAGAAATATCTTTTTTCGCTTAAGCTGAACTAACATTCATCTTCTGTAATGAAAACTGGTAACATGTGTTTTCTATTTAAGTGATGTTTCTGCATATTTGAATCAAAAATGTATCATTCTCTAAAATGAACGATGGATTAAAAACACAGCCTGCATTTTATTCAAAACAGTTTTCTGTGTAGCATTTCATAACTTGATAATCTGCAACACCCAAAATAGGAGTACATGATTAATTCTTCATTCAAATGAAATAAACATTCTTTAGGTAGCACTGCAGTCTAGCTTACGTTGTTCTCTTTCAGGAAGAACTCATTTCTCTAAGGATATTTTGATCAACTGAGCGAAGGAAGATTATTCGATTAGGATTAATTTTATTCGATTACGATAACCGTCCCAGGAAAAGCAGGATGATTCAAGGATATGTGTATTTCAACAAATTTTCGAAAAGGAACACAAATCTTGTCTGAAATATTTACTATTGGTTAAGAAAATAGTTTTTGTGCTAATGATATTGCGATTATGCAATTCACAGTATCATTTTAGGACAAATAAAGAACATATCTAAAGAAATTATTTGAAAAATTGCTTAATTTATACCTCATTTTAATTCCTGAGTTTATTTTTTTTTTAAATTCGTCAACTTAATGCTTGGCAAGGAACGTTTTGCGTATTTAAAATATTTTTTAAAAACATCTTTTTGATGCAGGAATTAAATAAAAACAATAAGTTTTAGGATTGGTCAAAATTAAACATTTTTCCTAAATTCCATTTGTTAAAAATTATCTACTTATTGAAAAAAAAATATGCAATAGAAAAAACAGTAGAAGAAAAAAAATTATAAACAGTAGAAGTCTTATAAACAAAAGTAATCTTATAAACATTAGAAGAAAGCAGTAATTCGGAACTATCTGTTCGAAGAATAATATGCCGTAGCACCATATGCAATCTTCTTATAGTAAAATACAGGATGATTCAAAATTTTGTGTCAAAAATGAAAAGGTAGATAGAGGGGACCTGAATAAGCAGTTTTGCTATAGGAATGTGCGTGCGCTAGCACGTAAAGCAGTATGAAACACAAGAAACTGAAAAGATAAGTAAAGAAAAAAGAAAAAAAAATATTAACAGTTTACACTAGGTACTTGAATGATCGGCCATCATCAGCGATACAAGATTCACAGTGGCAGCGCATGGATCCGCGTACATTAGAAAAGACGTCAGGCATGTCGAGCAGCAACAGAGATTCGGGCAACAAGATCTTCTGCAGATGTGGCGGGACTCCAGGGTACACAAGGCCTTTAATATGATCCAAAAGGAAGAAATCCAAGCAGGTTAAATCAGGAGAACGCGGTGGCCAGGGAACCGGCCCTCCTCGTCCTATTCAATGCTGGCCGTAGATAGCGTCCATGTGATTTCTAACGTTCCAGCTGAAGTGAGCTGGGGCTCCATCGTGCTGGAGCCCCATTCGTCTGCGAACAGCTGGAGGAACATGCAAAAAAATTCAGATAATGTAGAATTGCTCCCTATACATTCTTTGAACAGCTAATCCATTTCCATGTGTAGCCCCATACATGAAATGCTTGTTGGCAAGCTCCGCGTTGGTGTAACGATGCATGCTGCTCGAGATCCATGAGAAAAAATGAAGAATCTGACTTACTGGCAGGTTATTGCCGGCAATGCAGTCCTGTGAACTCGTATCCGGCTCTATCAAACTAGCCACAATGGCGACATCACGATAAGTCAATCGTCATGTAAATACAGTTAATAGGAAGTGGCAAAAAGAGGGGACCGGCATCATTTGGTCAGGAGAGCCAAGGATCATAGACAAAGGTGGAGACGTTGTCATATAATTCAATACAAACTATCTACAAATATATGCGAAATTATCAAGTGGGGAAATTTGAGTTACAGAGGTGGGCCGAAATGAAGAATCCAGCTAGTGTTGTGTAGAAAATTGTATGATCGTGCTATAAAGAACCAGGTGAATTATTTTTCAGATTTAAGAAAATCTTAATTTTATTTAATTCTGAATTATTATTTTAATGCTTTAATTTTGGGGAAAAACAGATGCTTCTAAGAATACTATTCATTTTCCTTTTTTTTTTAAATTTTTTTATCCAAGATTTCGGTTCATTGAAAGGAATTCGGGAAGAGAGACGAATTTCGGAAATTTGGTCAGTTTTTGACTAAGTGAGAGAGGTCGCTAGTTCGGTCCTTTAGGGTAAGAAACGCAAATTTAGTCCCAAAAAGGGGAGGCGATAAATGAAGCCACTATGGGAGCCCCTGTTTGTGACGAAAGCAATTCGAGTTGGAATCACTTTATGACTAACACTTAGACTTTGTACTTGGTGTTTGTTCTTGTGATGAGCTGAAAAAAAAAGACATGTAGTTCGCCTACTAGCAGTGCTTCCGGCGGGGAGCGGCAATTATGCTCCCCGGCCGCGTGTTTCGCTAAAATGCGAGAATGAATTGTTGAGCGAATTCTTCTGAAAATGAAAGACTAGAGTTTTGGACTGTCAGGATAGAAGGTAGTTCTATCACGTGGACCAAGAAACAGTTATTTTTCTTGCCGTGAACTGCTAAGGCCCTGCCTAAACGTTTTTTTTTTTTTTTTTTTTTTTTTTTGGTTAAATTTCTACTTAGAACCGAAGTATGGAATCGTAATTGTTGGCATTCTGAATACTCGAGAACCTTTTTCCAAATATCATAGAAGAATGAATCTGCTCCAGCGTTCTGTTAATTTCCTAGCTTAATAGGCTACTTTTTCCACAGTTGAAGTGAGTTCCACTGTTGAAACAAAATGTAGGCGTTTTCCCTTGTTGAGATAGCTGAAGCGAAATTGCAGGCATGTTGAAAGAATCGTTCTTCTAACTTCGGTTGGAGCTCCTGAAAAGTGAAGTAAATCAGTCTTCAGTACCCCTTCTTCCGGATGATAAGGTTTCCCAGGAATGCAAGGTCTCGCCAAGTCATTTCCGGGCCTTCTTCTAGTTGTCTACTTAAAGATAAGTCATTCTTGTGTATTAATTTTTCTTGGACTTTAAATTAATTCTGAAATATTTATTAGGACATTATGCTTCTTATTTAAATTCTGACTCTAAATTAATTTTGAATGCCTGAAAATTCGCTCCCTTCCGATTTTTTTTCTTTACTGAGACTAAATGGAAAATCTTATTAAGTTAATTATAATATAAAATATGTTTTTTTGTGTGTGTGGAATTATCCTTGGTACCAAATCCTTACGTTGATTGATATGAAACCAGTAAATTCTTAATTTTAAATTCAAAAATGATATAAATAAATTGATTGATTCCGATGTGGAACTGAAATAAGGAATTGGCCCGTACTAATTACCAATAATGTGAAATTTAATTAAAAATCTTGAGGAGTCTGAATAAACTTGTATTTAATCTGGAAAACTATTTTTTTTTGTTTTTTTTATATCTATTTAATGTTTTTCCTTTATATATTGTATTTACCTTTGTTATCCGATCCTCTCGCAGCACGGTCCCGTGTGCATGAAAAACACAACGCAAAAGTCTAATTTCCACTCAGGTACGATCATTGAAAATGTTGAAATTAACTAGCCCTTAAGGGTTTATTTTCAGCTTGGTAGTTATTTAGTTAGTTACGCTTTCACCTGTCTGTTTCTGTGTCTGTATTTTCCTTTAGATACCGTAGCAGAAATAGAACAGTAGCGCAGCGCTTTTATACGTCGTACTCATCAGCGCTCTCTACTGGTTCAACACGGTATTAACGCCCACACATTTCTATACGAAATCTGCTTATTTAGGTCCCCTCTACCTGCCTTTATATTTTTGACATATAGTTTTGAACGACCCTGTGTAATCCAATAAAGGTATAATTTCAGCCACTTAGATGAAAATTTCTGTGATTATTGGAATAGTTTTAACATTAAAATTTCGATCATACTAACTTTATTGAATGAATAATTATTATTTTAGTTTGATTTTGATATATAATATGAAATAGAATTGTTTTCCCGTGTCCAAAAGAGAATAATAATAGAGCTCACACAGTATGTCTCATAATAATATTAAGTACCAATATCTGAACTAAAGACCAAATTGTACTGTTTATAAGTATGTAGTGTATCACGCAAAATGAAGTTTTCTCCTTAACTCTAAGTGAACGTCATATTTTTGCAGTGTCTCTGTAACATGTCATAATGAGAGAAGCAATAACATCTAGATTAGCTGAGCTAAAAATAAAAATGTTAACAAGGTAATATTACATTTTGATAAAACCAGGACAACGGAAAAAGGCTTACGATGGCAGTTCCTTGACTCATTTAAAAGTTTGTCAATGATTAACAAAATTTCAGAATGTTCGAGAAGACTACAACAGATCTAAAGGGAACTAACATGGAACAGTTTAACTAATACTACCGTCTGATCAAAGTATGTCAATGACA